CGAGCCTTTGAAAATAGATCGATTTCAAAACGCTGTCATTTGTTCTTAAGTCTCTATTGTGAGGTCGGCGTCCCAACAGCTTCTCTCACTTCTGTCTTCTCTCCTAAAAGCCAAAGGCCAGCAATCCTTCGCTGTTGTTACTCTCAGATCACCAACAGAGCATTTTAAAGACCGGCCTCAGGTCTGAGGTGGCTCGCTTCACTCCAGATGTTTTTAACTGTTTGTTTTTTATTTTGGTTTAATTTTGTTGTGTGGTTATTCTTATCTTTAATGTTCTTACTGCTGTGTTTCACATTTTTTTATTTCTTGTTTTATGGTAATTCTGTGTACTCAAACTGGATTCTCGGAGCGCTGGGATGCAAATGAGCGTGCCCAGAGAGCACGTTGGTCCAACCTCTGCTGTTTGAAGATGTGCTGAATGATCAGACTTGACTTAAAAAGAAGCGAGTAGAAAGCACAGAGGAAGACAACAAAGAGGCTGGTGAGTTTCTCTTTATTTGACTCTCGTTCCTCGCGGCTCGCTTTGTTTATTTCTCAGCTGCTGCTCGTTCACCTCTCAGCACTTTTCAGACCGTTAAAGACTCCTACAGGACGCACTCAGCGAGGCTTCAGGCTTTGAGCTCAGCACAGCCTGAAGGCGCAGAAACAAAAGGTGGTCTGACCTGTCGGAGCTTCACTCCCGCTGCAGGCACTCGGAGCCGATGTGCCTTTAATCAGCAGCACTGACATTAAAGATGATAATGTGCGAGGACAAAATCCACACAGATGCTAATATCCACTCATCTCTGCTGGACACAAACCGTCCACAGCAACGACGAGCAGAACGAAAGAGGGAAAATGCCCTCGTGTTCCTGCACGCAGCTTCTTCATCTCGGAGTCATTTTTACTATTCCTGCTTCCGACTAATGACCCTCAGGTGTTAGATATCCTCACTCCCAATCCTAACAAGTGTTTCCAAAGCAGAAAGCCTGCGAGCTCACTGAGGTCCGAGAGTCTGCCCACCGAACAGGACCGAAACATCCTCGTGGCTTTCTAAATTATAAACTTCATCAGACAGCATATGTAACATGAACACGTTTTTATTTGATGTTTCTTTTTATGTTTTTTTTTAGTCTCCCGACAAAAAATGAGCTAAAACTTTAGAGCAACTATTTACATTTTCATAATTTATGACCAAGATGGCGGCGCGCACAGACGCAGCGGCTCACTGCTCCTCACGTTCGGTGTTTTGTTTTTTACTTTCTCTACGTGTATCTGTGTGGATGTGTGTGCTTTTTATCATTATACATCGAGTAGAGTCCACCTACAGTCGTCAGGACCTTTTGAGTTTGGGATTACGCTGTGCAAGGAGCATTACATCGGACTACCACCACTTTCACAGCATTCCGGAGGACATAATAAGAGCTCCAGGGTCTCCGTGGTTGGTTCTTCCCAGCGGCAAGACAAAGAGGAAACGTAAACAAAGGAGGCAAAAGCGTGGCTGCAGGGCGGGTCCACTAGCTCGGCTAAAGAAACAGCCATTTAAGCCACCGCTTCCGAGTATTTTCCTCTCCAACGTCAGGTCCATAACCAACAAAATCGACGAACTGAGATTACAAATTGCAGTCAATAAGTGTGTACGGGACAGCAGCATAATATTACTCACAGAGACTTGGCTGCAGCCATCAATTCCGGACTCGGCTATTGAGCTAGCAGGCCGCACGGTCCACCGTCACGACAGGAACGGCCACTCCGGTAAGATCAAAGGAGGGGGTTTATGCATCTACACCAATGACAGCTGGTGCAAAAACACAAAGACTGTAGACAGCCACTGTTCCCCGGATTTGGAATACTTGACTGTGAAGTGCAGACCCGTCTACATACCTCGCGAGTTTACTGTTGTCATGGTAACGGCCGTGTATGTACCACCCGATGCTAATGCTAACTCTGCCATGGAGGAGCTGCACAAGACAATAAGCAACCAGCAGAACTCCCATCCAAACGCAGTGCACATTATAGCTGGGGACTTCAACCATGCTGATTTAAGGTCAGTATTCCCCAGATTTGAACAGCATATTAAATGTGCAACGAGGGGGAAAAACACATTGGATAAAGCCTACAGCAACATCCAAAAAGGCTACAGAGCAACCCCTCTACCACATCTAGGTTTGTCAGACCACATGTCCATGCTGTTGATCCCTGCATACACTCCCATTAGGAGAAGAGCCCCCCCAGTCACAAAAACTGTGAAAACCTGGCCAGAAGGTGCATCACATCAGCTGCAGGACTGTTTTGAAAACACGGACTGGAGCGTGTTCGAACATCAGGACCTTGAAGAGCACACAACATCAGTGCTCTCATATATTAACTTGTGTGTCAACAGTGTCACTGTGGACAAACGTCTCCGGGTGTATTCCAACCAGAAACCGTGGATGACTAAAGAGTTGCAGGTCCTGCTGAAGCAACGCGACGCCGCTTTCAGATCCGGTGATGGTATGCAGTACAGTGCAGACAGATCTGCGCTGAAGAGAGGTATCAGAGAGGCCAAGGCAGCGTACAAGAGAAGGATCGAAGACCACTTCACCACCAACAACTCACGACAGGTATGGCAGGGAGTTCAGCACTTAACCAACTACAAACCTGGCAATACCACGTTGACTGAGGGTAACGCGGAGCTTGCAGAGGAGCTGAACCACTTCTTCGCACGCTTTGAGGTGAAGGGACCAGAGGCAGCAGCAGCAAAAACATCGGACAGCAGCAGCCCAAGCCTCATAGTGCAGGAATATGAGGTGAGGCGCACACTGAGGGCAGTGAACCCCAGGAAGGCCACCGGACCAGACGGGGTAACCGCAAAGGTCCTAAAAGAGTGTGCAGACCAGCTGGCTGGGGTCTTCACTAAGATCTTCAACACTTCACTGTCCCAGTCCTGCATCCCGCCGTGCCTAAAGTCAGCCACAGTTGTCCCACTGCCAAAGCGTACTAACATTAGCAGCCTCAACGACTACCGACCAGTTGCTCTAACACCTGTTATAATGAAGTGCTTTGAGAAACTGGTCCGACGTCACATCATGTCCTGCCTGCCACCCACACTCGACCCGCTCCAGTTTGCATACAGAGCTAACAGATCAACTGAAGATGCCATTGCTACAACGCTCCACACCACCATCTCTCACCTGGAAGTGCAGGGCCGTTACGCCAGGCTGCTCTTTGTTGACTTTAGCTCTGCTTTCAATACGATACTCCCGGACAGACTAATAGATAAACTGCTGGAAATTGGACTTCCTTCCACCACCTGCCGCTGGATCAGAGACTTCCTCTCAGACCGTGTACAGAGAGTTAGAGTGGGGCCTCATCTTTCTTCAGCCCTCAGCCTCAACACCGGCTCTCCACAAGGCTGTGTACTGAGTCCCCTACTGTACACTCTGTACACACATGACTGTGTTAGTTCCCACCCAGACAACACAGTCATCAAGTTTGCAGATGATACCACTGTGGTGGGGCTCATCTCAGGGGGAGATGAGACGGCGTACAGAGCTGAAGTTCAGAGGCTGTCAGATTGGTGTGCAGACAACAACCTGGACCTCAATACCACCAAAACAAAAGAACTGGTAGTTGACTTCAGAAGGAGGAAGTCCGAGCTGCAGCCTGTCAGCATCAACGGGGAGTGCGTGGAAAGGGTCTCCAGTTTCAAGTTTCTGGGTGTGCACATAGACACAGACCTCCAATGGAGCTCTAACACCTCTGCGGTCTTAAAGAAGGCCCAACAGCGCCTCCACTTTCTGAGAATCCTCAGAAAAATGGACCTGAAGAAGGAGCTGCTGACCGTCTTCTACCGCTGCTCCATTGAAAGTGTGCTGACATATTGCATCGGTGTGTGGTTCTCCAGCTGCACCACAGCACACAGAAAGGCACTCCAGAGGGTCATCAACATGGCCCAAAAAATCATTGGACATCCTCTTCCCTCCCTGAAGGACCTATACAGCACTCGCTGTCTCAAGAGGGCACACAGCATCCTACGGGACTGCACACACCCAGGACACCGGGTGTTTAAGCTGCTGCCGTCTGGCAGGAGGTTCAGGCTGCTGAGGTCCCGAACAAATAGACTCAAGGACAGCTTTTACAACAGGGCAATAGCCCTGATCAATGTAAATAGCTGACCTGACTGGATACCTCCCTGGACTTTTTAGGGGGAGGTAACAATGTTTAAAACGATAACAATAATATTTATATTTATAACAAGGTGCAATAATAATTAATGTGCAATAATAACAGTGTGCAATACACATACACTTATTCTTCTTTTTATACTAAGTTAATATACTGTGTTGTGTTGTTTGTTACGTTGTGATGTGTCATATCGTGTCGTGTTGTGTTATATGTAGTGCCGACGTAGGACAGTTTTTCCAATTTCATTGTACTACTGTACTATGTATGACTGTGCAATGACAATAAAGAGTTATCTTATCTTATCTTATCTTAATTTATTTATTTTTTCCACACATAATTGCTTATTATTATTTAAAAATGTATGATTGTTTTATGTTTAGGCGCTAACATGAACTTTTAAAATAAACTAGAGGGTCAGGTTTGAATAGAGATCGTGGTTTACAACGATCACCACTTCTTTTAATGCGCTGGGTTCTTGGTTGCTATGGTAACACATCCCCCTCTTTGTGTGCACAGAAGCCGCAGACGTGAGCTTTACTTCCTAATGTCACAGAAACGGTGACAGCCTGTGAACGTGGACAAATGGACGACCTGTTCCTCACTACTTCACTGTGAGACGGCTGCTAGGCAACAACCTTCACCTTCACCTGAAGCCAAACTCGAAATCGTTCTCCAACCTCAGCTGAGGAACTGGCTGATGTGTGAAGAGATTTTTGAGACGCAGCATCTCAAACTCAAACAAACCCCCAAACTAATGCGAAAACAATCTGAAGCTTTAGCAAACAGGTACAAAACAACAGCACAACGCACCATTAAAACCATTACAAACCACTGCGGTTGTCATGGTCACCTACCTCCATCCACTGTCCGTGGGACTGCATGTTGAGCACAATGCAGGGGTCGGGTTTGGACAGAGCGTCCCGGTCTGAGATCCCTTTACAGGTGAGTCTGAGCTCCACTTTGGTGAGACAGGGACTGCTGAACAAGCCCAGAGAGTTGGCTGCGGACTCGTAGATGTCACTCATGGTGGAGGCGGGACAGGAAGTCTGAAGGAGAAGCAGAAAAGTTCCAGAAAAGGCAGCATTAAGCACCTTTAGTTTAGGTAGTTTAGAGTCCCCGCGTACATTTCGCTGACAGCCTCAAAGACATGTCTGAACCGTCACCATCGAGCCATTTCTCACTGCACGAACGATTCATGTACTGACCAGAATCAGTCCTGACCGCTGTCAGGCTCACAAATATCCTCTCCAGGGCAGAAACTTCTCAAAACTACTTACAACAAGCACCACTGTTATAATTAGAGATGGCACGACACCACTGCTACTGCTTCAACGTGCTACGGTTATGATCCGAGTTACGCCGTGTCGCAAGTTTTGTGAGGTGCTTTTTTGATATTTAATGGATCAAATTGCATGTTTTATTTCTCTCCGATATCCGATCCAGTAATTTACGTCAGTATCGGACCGATACCGATACGTAATATCGGATCAGTCCATCTCTAGTTACAATATCAGTGAAGAGCATGATGCGACTCAACAAAATGCCAGCTCACGAGTCCTCCTGATCACGCAGTGGAAACAGGAAGACAGAAAGAGCCAATCACATGGCCAATCATTGCACCTACCCCGAGTTCCTGCAGCAAACAGGTGCTCAGCATCAATGAGCCTCTGAAGGGCAGTAAGCTAACAGCCAGGGATATGATTCATGCAGCTTTTGTATTGTGAATTCGTACATCATCGCCACTGCAGGCTTATTAAATTCTGTTTTTCCACAAACATTTGCTTCCAGCTGTTTAAAAATGGTCACCACTGGATTGTGCTGATTGGACCAAACCGATGCAAGGAATTGTAAGGCAGATTCTTTCAAGCATCCAGCTTGTAATCCTACAGTAACCCCGTTTAGGGAGTAGGGGATATTTCAGCTTTTACAACAGTACAAATACACATCGCTGCAGAGGAACGACCAAAGTAAAAGAGACTACAAGTTAGGGGTGGGCGATAGAAACGATATACGATAGAAACTATATAAATTTGGCCAACGATAGAGATTTTGACTATACCGCTCTACCGGGATAGCGCATGTTGATGATGTCAAAAGCATCGCAGCGGCTAAAACCATTATCATCTGCAAATGATGGCGGGCGACAGTCATAGCAAAGAGGTGAAGCACTTTTGAAATATGGGGAAAGCCAAAAACTGCGCTTCCTCCACTTCCGTAACATTGATTCATTAATGTTGAATTCTCTCGCAGCTGCTCTGTTCCCATGTTGTTGCAGTATATTAATGACTAACCTCGTATTGTGGATGAATGCTCTCAGTTGTTCTCCTGACTGAAGTTTGGCCCGTGTACAGCATCCTGCTATGCGATTGCATTTGTCCCTGACCACCAGAATCCCGCACGTTAACTTTTATCGAGTGGAATAAAAGTTGGCTTCATCCTCCAGCTTCACTGTGCTAATGTTATGCTAACATAGCTGTGTCGCTAGCAATCACGTAGCACAACATTATATACCAGCTAGCCCAACTTCAGTAACCCTGCAAACCCACTGCTGTTTAGTTTCCTGTCTTTATGTTAGAAGTGACAGCAGAGCTGTACGTTTGAATTAGTTTCAAAAATCTCTGATATGAAATGTTTAGGTGGAAACTAGCGAGCTAACTTCCTGTTAACTTCTAACTCCGTTAAATTTAATAAATTCTGTTTTCATGGATGTTAAACTTAAATTGTTACACCTGGTAAAGCAGCATCGCTGATGATTTAATTAAAGATGAAAGAATTTAGACAGTTTTTAACTCTGTGTTGTTTGACTTTGGGACCTGAAGCAGACGGAGTTTTGGACCCAGATTACTCCGCGAAGCTCCTCACTACGGCAGCCGTAATGCTCTGACATCCATCAAGCAGTGCTGCTTACCAAAGTTGTGCTAAAACATTTTTAACAGATTTCTGCAGCCAAAATCTGTCCGAGTTCAGTAAGCACAACCAGAATTCATACATAAGGAACACTCTCGATTTTTGAGAAAATTAAAGGATTTTAAGTCCTTATAGTGTGGGAAATACGTTATACAGAGGAAAAGAATATATCGTGATATATATTGTTCCCGCACGTGCTTCAAATTATACCGCGATATGGATTTTAGGCCATATTGCTCAGCCCTACTGGAGTCTAGACAGAAGCATCTCCAATGGAAGAACCATGGAACCTGATTAAACACAGGAGAGTTATGTTTTTCATTCAGATTAGTTTATGCAATTATATTTGGTCTTAAAATATTGGTTCTTGTTTTTATTCTTTCCCCGGTTGGCAGCGACACACCGACCAGCTGACCACCATAAAACAACAAAAATAGAAGAACATGCCAATAACTGCAAAACACTGCGGCGGCCATCATGAAGTCCTACAGTTACTCACTTAAAAGAAAAGAAGTGTTTGAGGAGCCGATAATGAAAAATGAAAGAGAGGAGGACAGATGGAGGACAGGGAGTGAATCAGGAAGTGGAGATGAGTAGTAAGGACGGAGGCGTGTGGAAAAGCACTTAAACCACTCGAGGACCTGCGATTGTGCCTTGTGTGACACCACCCAGAAAAAACACCTTTCAGAGACTCCAGCTCATGCGTAAAGCCGCAGGATTAACTGAAAGAAGCAATAATACTTTGTTCTGTTCACTTAAATTAGCTGTGAACGGATTTTGTGAACTTGTGTAAATTGGGGGATGAACTGTGAGGACTTTGTGTTGTGGGTGGAGGTGAGATGGATGTTTTCTCATTGACGTCAGACTTCTGATCATCTAGTGGACGTCAGAGGAACTGCAGCCACGGAGGCTCTGAGTCGCAGCAGCAACACGTAACAATAATTATTCCAGGTCTTTATGACAGACAGGAGAACTTTATAATAACTTTACAAGACATTTCCCAGCCTCTGAGTGATTTCATTTCATCACTGATTTACATATCATAATTGCATGGAAATCCTCCCTGTCAGAGTGGAATGAATGCAACCAGCAGCCAGAGCGAGTCTGCTGAACTGGTGCTAATTAAATCGGAATAAGAGATGATTTTATTCATTACATGCATTTAATTGTATTTGATGAAATAACTCCTATTCATCCAGGACAATCTAATTATACAGTGTAGAAAAAATTACGTTCAAAACGATGTTCACATAATTAATTCGCACGTCTGGACTCGCTGTGCGTGATAACTGACCCTCTCTCCGTGACACTGCTCTGATTGAGTTGCTTAATTTGATTATTAGAGACCTGCTTTTATATCTCTGCTGCTGTGAGGAGCCTCGCATCCTGTCTCTAATTACTAGGGCTGCAACGATACACAAAATTCACGGTTCGGTTCGATATTTTTTCGATACAAAAAATGTTCATGCCTTTTTAATTTGTCATTTATTAAAATTATAAATATATATTTTAACTCAAAAGTACAGTTTTTAAATTTAATGTTGCTGAAACAACAAAATAAAAAAAAAAAATAAATCTATCTGATGGAGAAATCCCTCATCTTTGGAAAAGAGAGTTTATTACAGAGAAATGTCTCTTTCCAAAATAAAAGCTCTACTATACGCTTCTTCTGGGCTATATTCTCAGCAGCATATTAAACATATCAGGTCCCCATAAGGAGAATCCTGTGCTAACGGCTGTCTAAATGACTCGGGTAAAGTTTGTAGCATGCATGCTTGTTGTTTTTGTCTGCTTCCACTTGTCTTTGCACTAGGATGATGTCAGAGTAAATGTGCAGTCATATTCGTTGTGTTCCCACTAGTGCTGTCAGCGTTAATCTGAAATGACGTTAACGCCACAACACGGCAAATCTCCGTTAACGAGTTACAGCGTATTGCCCTGTGCAACACGTTAACGAGCTAACTGCGCTAACACACTAGTTCCCACCAATTGAGCATTGCGTGGCACATCCAACATACTGTTTTACTTTAGTCCATGACGCGCTTACCTTCAGGGTCATACGTCACATGAAAACCAAAATAGTTCCAAACGCCAGATCTGAATGAGGGTGGGGGAGGTTCAATTTCGGGTAGCGTTGAGGCAGTTGCCATGTTGCAACGAGCTAAGCTGCGTACTCGCATTCTCAGCGAGACCGGACGTGCCAGGAACGCGAGCACGGACTCGTGATTTGTACAATTGGAACATCAGCGTACTTGATGATATCACAGGTCCGGAGTTTTTACTGCCGTCCCCTCTTAATTTAACTGTGAGTAATATGTTATGAAGCTTCACTTTAATCACAGCCAAACCGGTTTACTCAGGAACAAATAAAACACTGAAATAAACCAAACATTAACATTTAGAAGTGATCTAAGTGACTTATATATATATCATGTTTAACCTCAGTAGTGAAATCTCTATTAATAAAAATATTGTATATATGTATATGTATGTATGTATGTGTGTATATATATATATATATATATATGCATGAAGAGGATGATGTGGACAAAATACTCATTTGCCTAATAATTCTGCACTCCCTGTATATGTGTGTGTGTGTGTGTGTGTGTGTGTGTGTGTGTGTGTGTGTGTGTGTGTGTGTGTGTGTGTGTACACACACACATATATATATATATATATATTAATGAGCACTCTGATCTTCAGCCCCATTGTCTCCTGCTGGCAGATAAACTCCGCCCTGACAGGAAGCCCTTTCTGTTGGGTCAGGACAGAGTGATTGTATCTCCACCTCGACTCCCAACCAATCACTCCATCACCTCCCTCCATTATCCCATCAGCAGCACTCGGGTTGATCTGATTAACCCCGGGCAGAGCGAGGTTTTGGTATCCGAAGCACTTCACAGGAGGAAGTTACACTTATCCTCTAATAAAAATATAAGATATTCTCCTTACACAGCTGGCTCAGGTTACAGCCCTGAGGAACGATGGAGGGAAGGATGTTTCAGAAACAGGACACAGATCTGTTCTTTCTGTGGAGGAGATCATGTTCTACCAATCAATGGAGTTTATAATAGACCAATCAAAGGCTGCTTATGAGTCTTTTTATAGATCTATTAAGATTCTTATCACTAAAACC